CACACACACACACACATATATATATTATATGTATGTATGTATGGAAAGATGGGAATGCTGATTCACGTCAAAAGTTTTAAGAGCTTTGCCTTCTTTTTTTAATCACTTCTAAAGCATACATATACAACTTTTGAAACACACTGCCTTATATTCATTTCAGACTTTTCACACACGCACGCAAAAGCTTTTTCATCCCAAATTGATGAAATAAATAAAATCAAACCAACACATAAGGCCACAAACTATTTGTCTACTCCTATCTACTTGAGTTTTTAGGATGAAACCCCAAGTATCAATAATACGAAATGAATGCGCACTTAATTTTTGTTCTACACAGGCCAGGTTGTTTTAGACACACCTCTACCAGTTAATGGCTACAACGGCTGCAAGATATCAAGTGTCAAACCAATTGCTGTTCCTGTCTCCAAGGGTACTCGCTTTTCACTTAAAGGCTACGACTTGTCGCGGCCCAACACGAGGTGCACATATTTCTATTTATGGCATTTGCTTCCCACTCTTTAGTCATTTGGTCACTGAGCTGACTATTTAGTTACTGTTTTCATTTCTTTCAGATTTCTATGTGCACTAGAAGGGAAATATTTGGTCCAGGGAAATTGTGGTGATGTGCTAGGGACTGACTCGTTTTTGGATCATAATGGGATCCAGTCCCTTAGCTTTCCATGCGTTATACCAAATGTCACTGGCCGCGGATTCATTGAGGTTACAATATGCCCTTGTTTAGCCTTTGTTTCGTTGGATGAATATTTGGAGGGGAGAGTTGGGGGAAGTGAAGGGGGGTTGTGTGTGTTTATGTTTTGGGGAGGAAATTGGAGGGACAAGAAAATCCTCCAAATTTGGAGTTTTTTTTTTTCTTTTTGGGAAAATAAGCCTTCGCACCCCATGTTTTTCATTGAACATACCTTATAGTTTCCAGAGCGGGGTGCAAGGTTAAATCTTGAGATAAATCTTGTGATTGAAGGCAAATCCAGAACAACCACCTTCATTTTCCTCCCTCTACCCCACACCCCCTCCTCCCAATCCCCTCCTTTGAATAGGAATCTCTTTTAAATGTAATAGTATTTTTTATTTTCATTTCTGACTTCCTGAGTAGGTAGAGGACCATGGTCTCAGCAGCAGCTTCTTCCCATTTATAGTTGCAGAGGATGATGTGTGTTCAGAAATCCGTACACTAGAGAGCAACCTTGAGATTTCAGAAACTGCTTCTGGACTCCAACAAGAAACTGAAAACTTAGAAGCCAGAAACCGAGCTTTGGACTTCATCCATGAGATGGGCTGGCTCCTTCATAGGACTCACACAAAAGTCAGACTGGGTGCCAAGTCAAACCATCTCCGCTTCCCGTTTGACCGGTTCAAGTGGCTAATAGAGTTCTCGGTTGACCGTGATTGGTGCGCCGTAGTTAAGAAGCTTTTGGATGTTTTGTTTATTGGCATTGTGGACGAAGGAGAACATTCATCCCTTGAGGTCGCATTGCAGGACCTGGGTCTCCTCCATAGGGCCGTACGTGGAAAATGCAGGTCAATGGTAGAAGCTCTCCTACAATACTGCCCTAATAGAGGGGTTGACGAATCGAAAGTGGCCAAAAAACAGAGTGAATGTCCCTCCTATGTGTTTAGACCGGATGCAGTTGTATTTGAAGGCCTCACTCCACTCCATATTGTTGCCAGTCAAAATGGATTGGACAATTTATTAGATGCGTTAACCAACGACCCCGGACAGGTGATTTTTCCTCAACTTTTCTATTGCTCTAATAACAATCACTTTGTTGATTAAATCCCAACTTCATGAAAATAGCAATTAATTAATTAATTAATGTCAACCAGTTATATTGTCGCACAAATGAGACAAGAAAAGTGGGAGACGAGATTTGAGCTTGGCAACCAAAGAAAGTTTAGAATTTGGAATGCTCAACTTTTACACTATGTTTGGTTCAAGGGACGTGGAAGGAAAAGAAAAGAAAATGGGTTTCTCTCATTTTCCTCACCAAAATGGGAAAAGTTGCCTACTCATTTTCTTTCCCTTCCACTTTTCATTTCTTTTTCTCTCCAACCAAACAAGAAAAATTGTTTTCCATCTCATTTTCTTTTCTTTTCCCTTTCAATTCTCTTGAACCCAACATAGCGTTAAATTTTGATGAGGTAGGACTGTTAAAATGTTCTGAGATACTACCAACATATTTAGTTTAACTAATACTCATCTAATATGTGACTTGTTTGCATTCTTTTTGGCAAAACACATGACAAGTTACTTTCTTTTGTCGAAATATGGTGCTGATGTTTTATTTATTCTCTATCTGTTTCCTCTCAGGTCGGCATTGAGGCATGGCAGAACGCACGCGACAGCACAGGATTAACACCAAACGACTACGCATGCGTGCGAGGCCACAATTCGTACATTCAACTAATCCAAAAGAAAGCAAAGAAGCAATTACCGGGCAATGCTGATGTCGTCATAGATATCCCAACCAGTAAGATCGCGCAGAAAACAGGAAACATTACGTCCAGTTTCCAGACTGAGAAATCATCAGTCAATGCTACAAAGACAAGTTGCAGCCAGTGCGAGCAGAAGTTAGAGTCCAGAAGGTTTAGTAGTAGTAGTAGCAGAAGAAGAACTTCACTTGCAATATATAGGCCAGTGATGCTATCCATGGTGGTCATTGCTGCCATATGTGTCTGTGTGGCCCTCTTGTTCAAAAGCTCGCCGACGGTCTACATCTTCCAGCCATTCAATTGGGAGCTTCTCAAGTACGGATCGAGTTAACTCGCCGTAAGTATGAAAAGGGAAAAATAAAAAAAAAATAAGGATGAACTCTCGACACGGTGTCCGGGTCGGAATTGAGCTTAGGAATTTTACCCATTTGGATTTTCATCTCAGTAAATTTGTAGTCTCTTGTATGATGAGGTGTGTATATGTGCTGTTTTTGTTTGGATTTGATTGCGTGTATATATATATGTGGAAGCTAAGCTCCTTTGTTATATATACCGCTTGGTTTGGGAACATTATTTGTGATTAGTAGCGTTAGTGTTTTGGATAGATTTTCTAATGATGCAAATTATATTACTTGGTACCCCTCTCTCTCATAATTATCTCAAAATGAAGTACTACTAAAATTTTAAGTTATTTTAATTATTTTATTTAAGGATTTGTACATAATTAAAAAATAAAATTTACATATTTAAAAACTACATCAAAAATTTTACAAAATAAATGCTTATAATAATATAGAGTATTTTTTTTTTATCAAATACTACCTCCGTCTCAGTGTATTTGTTCAGTTTGACTTTTTCGAGTCAAACTAGACGAACATTGAATTCCAATTACTCTTAGTTTATATCGCATATATAAGCATAATGAAATACAATTTTGAAAGTTTTCAATATGATAAATCAAATAAAGTCATTTTTATGTTAAAATTCATTACGGTTTTTATTTAATTGAAGCTCAAAGTTTGTCCAATTTAACTCGAAAAAGTCAAACTGGACAAATACACTGGGACAGAGGGAGTAATTAATAAAAATGCACAAATAAACAAAAGTTATAGTGTTTTAGAATTGTGAAGAAGGAAGAAAATTTTGAGACGAAGGAGTATAAGTTTGAAGCTAAAGAGGGTGTTGCTAAATTTACTCTGGTTATGGTTAACTCATTCCATTTATGGTTAAATGAACAATTTGTCCTTAAGGGTATGTTTGGTTGGAGGTAGGTAAAAGTTTTATTAGGTAGGTAATGGTAGGTAATTGAAGGTAGGTAATTGAAGGTAGGTAAAGTAAGGTAATGAGTTAAAAAGTTGTGTTTGGATGTTTAATAGGTAACGTAAGGTAGGGAAAGAATAAAAATTACTAAAATATCCTTATGGTTGTTTTTCCTTATTTCTTTAGATGTATTTATATGACTACAAATCCACCGAGCCAGAATGCCATCTCTAAGGAAAAATTCATATTGAAAAAAAACAAACAGCTAAAAAAATTGAAAAACAAAACAATATATTTCAATAAATATTGAAAAATAGGTAAAATAAAAGGCAAAAACCTAAAAAAAAATGATATTAAAATACATAGCAAAAAATGGAAAAAACAGCAAAAATAATCAGAAAAAAACATAAGAAAAAACGGAAAAAAATAAAACGAAAAAACAGCAAAAAAAAACCCCCAAAATTTTTTAAATCAAAACCGGAAAAAAACATAAAAAAACCGAAAAAAACAAAGCATGTTAATACAATAATTAGAAAAAAAACAGCAAAAAAACACAAAAACAGAAAAAAAAAAGAAAAGCAAAAAAAAGGAAAAAAATTGAGCCCTCACCTTATGGCAGAGGGGGCCAATCGTAGAAAGAAAGCAGCGGCAGAAGTTTTACAAGGAAAATTGAAGGAAGTATGGTATTGTGCGGAACAAATCTGGCCAACGCAAAGCAGAGCAAAATCATACGGAAAAAAATTGAAAATTGAAGTGCAAAAATCGGAATACCTGTCTGGTTGGAGATGGCTATGGGAAGATGACGATTAGGGTAGTGAAGGGTAGCTGCGGAAAATAGAATTCATTACCTCTATGTTTTGCCAAATTGGCGGTCATCCAAAATACACTGTTCAAAAATGGAGATATAATGGAGATAGATATAACAACACCCGTTCAAAAATGAGAGTGTTAAGGAATAGTGTTTGGGCGATGTACAAAATTTGATACCTTTTTGTCCTTTCGTGATATGACGTCACAAAGTTTGAGAAAAAAAATATTAACAAGTAAAAAATGTGTTAATATAATTTTTTTGGAATTGAGAGAAATATTTAAGTCTCATCTATTTATTTAAAAAGAGAAAAAAAATACAATCCTATTTTTTTTATATTTATGTGAGATATTGGGCTTTTGATGTATAGAATAAAAAGAATTGAATATTGGGCTTTTTTTATTCAGCTCAAAAAATCTGATCCATTCGCCTACAAAACCCTAGCCATATTATATAACGGAGTAATACATATACACTCTTCTTTCGCCGTCTTTCGACTTTGATTCAGAGAAGCCGGAGACAGCAGAAAACTAAGAGAGAGCGAGGACGGATCTTGCCTCCGTCGTTCCGATTCGAGGGAAAAACTCAAGGTAATACTCTGATTTCCTTAGAATTAGGGCTCATTTCTATGAAATTTAGGGTTTTCTGTATTCATAACTAGCTTTAATCTGCTATAAAATGATTAAGTGTCAGTCTACTTCAGGTTTCGTATTGCTTTAGTATAGTTTTTCTTCTTTGTTTTGTTTTCTGTGTTAAAATAAAAACAACCCCCTTCCCCTGTCGAAAACCATTTTGAGTCTTTTCTCTGTTTTAGGGTTTACATTTCGGTTGTTTACTATTTTATTGTGTTAAGTAATTAATTTAAGGTATTTTCATTGGCTTAACACATTTTGGAGGGGAGTGTTAATTTTTGTGTATTCAAGGTCTCTGTTTTTGCAGAATTTCGAAGAAAAAAGAATTGATTCCTTGTTTTTGTTGAACAGTTTCTGTGGGCCTTCTTAATTAGTACCGAGTCTCTTGGTTTTTTGGAACAATATCTTGTTTCAGAAGTTATAGTTCTTTACTTTGTTTACTAAGAGAAGCACTGTGTATCCTCTTGAGTAATGACATGATATTGCCAAATTTGAATACGTAGGTAAGGTTAAAGAGCAGAAATGGCCACCGTACCTGGGCAGCTGTTGTGGGAGATTGTGAAGAAGAACAACTCTTTTGTTGTCAAACAATCTGGCAAAGGGGCTGCCAGTGTTGTCTTCAGCAGGGAACCCAACAACCTCTACAATCTTCACTCCTACAAGCACTCTGGTTCAACGCTAACTATGTTTTTTTATTGTTTATTCTGATTTTCTTCTTACAGTTGAGAGAATTGAGAAGTAACCATCTGTTTGTTGCCCACACATCTTTAAAAAAACAATTGTATTCTGTCATAAAGAACTAATAATAATTTTAGGTTTTTGGAAAAGTCAATTAGATAGTAGCATATAATTTAATTGAACTTTAGCCATGGTAACCTTATGATAGTTGAATGCTTTAATGCTGTTGTTAGAGTATTTTCTTTGTTTTTTTAGTAATTGTTGAACATTCTTCTGTCTTATTGTATGAAAGTTATCCTGCTTTTGAGCTGTTGCTGATGTATTGGAACATTTATTCTGTTGGTATTGTTTAACAGGGCTTGCAAACAAGAAAACTGTTACCATTCAAGGGGGGAAAGATCTAACTGTGCTTCTTGCCACCACCAAGACCAAGAAGCAGAACAAACCTGCTAGCGCACTAAACAAGTCTCTGATGAAAAAGGAGTTCCACCGCATGGCCAAGGCTGTCACCAATCAGGTACATGTCTCATGTCTTAGTTGCTGATTTGTTTAGTCCAAGTATTAGGATAGTTGCAATGGGGCCATGGAGCTTTGGTTGAAATGACTTTCTATCCCCTAATCCCCATATTTAGATGAATTAATTTCAAGGGAAGTGCTACAAATACAAACCACAATTGGTTTAAAAGTAATGTGATGTCTTGGTTCTTGAAAAAACCAGATTTCACCATGTCTGTTTTGTGACACCTTCTTTAAGGCCTTGTTTGATATGGGTGTGGCATGATTATCTTATTGTTACGTAATCCATATTTCCACGATTGAGAAGCTGCATTGGAATGGTATCTTATACAAAGTTTGTTTGTTTGATGGTATTTGATATTCCTATAAAAATGACCTAATCACCGTTAACCATACAATTTTACAAGATGTTATTGTTTGTTTTCAATCCTTGATAGTATGGAAAACAATCAGATTAGTGGTTTTAAATTACGGGAATATGTTAGTTTAGAAATACCATTATTTCCACCAAGCCCATACCTTTGATTTGGAAATGCCAACCTCTTACCACCATAACTATGTTATGGTGGAAAACCATACCACACTAACCAGCATAAATCATTAAACAAAATACAAGATCTAAATATTTATTATTGTAGCATCATCCTAAATTTGACTCGAGCTACGGGTCTCCTGGAAACGTCTCCACTTATCCTCATTTGAGTTGCCTTCATGTTTTGTATACTAAATGTAGTGATTTACCCCAACATAACACAAGATCTTCTCTACAAAAATTATGTCCACTTGTTGTCATTTTGATGGCATTTCATCTGTAAGTGCATCGCGTCTCAGATTTTCTCTTTGTGGCATGTTATTTGCTTGCAGGTTGCAGACAACTATTACAGGCCAGACTTGAAGAAGGCAGCTCTTGCAAGGCTGAGTGTCGTTTACAGAAGCCTTAAGATTGCCAAATCCGGTCCCAAGAAGAGGAATAGGCAGGCCTGAACAACTACCCTTGTCCCTCTCTCTTGAAACAATCTTGGATTTTGTCTCCATTTTGCCCTTTTTTATTATTAATTAGTAATTCTCATTTGACGTTCATCTGATGATGCCTTGTGTCTCAAACATAAATTTACCTTCTAGTTTTACGCCTTGCTTGATGTGAGCTTTGTTTCAAGTATTGATATTTTAAACCTGAGAGCTTCCCCTCTGTTTGTTCATATCATTGCTAATTATCTTTTTTTGTTGTTTTATGATTTTAAAAGGTTCGATATTCTTTATAAATAAATTTAATTGAACTTAATATCACATTAATTTTTATCTACTACGGGGTATGATACTCCACTCTTTTCTGTAAATAAATTTTATCTAGATATCTTTTACTTTAGGAAAAGAGTAATTTATGAGTTTGTGATTGGTAAAAAATATTTTTTTCAATCTATGGAGTACAAAGTAAATGCAAAGAGTTAAAACTATTAAAGATATTTTTAACATGTTTTTACTTTGGGAGAGATACTTAGGTTGTTCGACCAAATTGTCTTTGGTAACTCTTATGTTGGACAAGTTTAAAAACACTTTACTGAAGAATAATGGTGTTTCTTTAATGAGTAAAAACATGGCAAACAATCTCCTCAGAAAATAAGCTGCTACATTTTCATCAAAGGTCAAACAGCTATTGTTAATTTTTAATTTCAACAGGTTTTTTTGTTTATTTGATTTTTCCTTATTATTTTGGCATTTTTAAATGCCTTAAGAACGTTACTTCGTACGGAGTATTTGATTACAAATCAGTTTATGTCTCATTATTGTACTTTTGTTTATTGAAGAACATTTTTAAATAGATAAAATTCTAAAGAGATAATTACCGACACCAGCTAAAGTGAATGTTACAAATGTACTCCGTAGTATTGTACCCCGTATAATCTAATATTCTAATGTTTACATCTTATGTCACTTTGATTATAAGTTACGGAGTAAAATTTAATATTGGTCTTATATGAACGAAAAAATATATAGTACAAAGTTAAAAATAAGATAGATAGCACTCCCTAAATTTCGTTTTACCGTTTAAAAAAGTTTCACATTCTATTTTGACGATATTTATGGAACTTTTTACACGACAAAGGAAGTATATCCATCGGAGTATTGCCTTTTCAGATATCATTAGTTCATTATTATTCTCTTTGTCCCAGAGAATTTTTACTACATTCTCACCACCCCACATAAATTTTAATTGGACTTCAAAAAATTTAAGAAAATGCTTTAAAGTTTTAAGTAAATCATCCCTATTTTTTGCAAATGGCCATCCCACCAATTTAGGGTTAATCTTTTAGGGATTAGAAGGAGCTAAAACAATCAGTTTGGATATAAACCATTTCAAAGGGACCAAAAAAGAAAATCACCGATTTTCTAGAAACAAATTCAACATTTACTCTAGTTAAAAAAATAGTGAAAGGACTATTTACAATTATTTTTATTACAAAATGACATACTCCGTAATAAAAAACGGAGTATTTTATAGGGACAAAAAACAAAAGCCACTTATTATACAAGAACTAAAAGCATATTAAACTCTTTATCTAATTAAGAATCAATGTTAATCAACTTCAATTACAAAAAATCAAAACTATAAATACTGTGAGACGAATGTAGTATTTATTAAAGAAATATAGTTTTTTCATCTTTTATTTCAAAAGTAGCAGATTTTGAGAAAGACAACCGAACACAATTTGACAAGAAAAGTAAACTTGCATGAGAAATAGAGTGGTTGTGTCATGTAGTTATGAAAAATCTATAATTAACTTATTTTCTACTCCATATTTGTACTGCTAGAGAAGATTTTTTTAAGGGAAAAACTCCAAACACAAGTGGATATCATCTTTGAGCCTTCAATTCCAGTTTAAATGGGCAAAGTTGGAAAACCAAAACTACTTGGAAGTGTCTGAGTTTTAACACCATTGTGTTTGTGTCTATCAGACAGTGCGAAACTGTATGAAGTTTTGCGCTGTCTCTCTGTGTGTCTATGAGACACAAATCACAATGGTGTCCAAAATGGTATCATATGTGGCGTGACTTATCTTTTTCGCCTATTCTACTGCATAGATCAGTCCTCCTTCCCCCGCGCGACACCAACAAGATAGGCGTTGAGATTGTGGCCAAATATTTTGGTCGAGAAGGCCTTTGCGACGTGCTGACGGGCATTCAGGCCCATCTTCACAGACAAACAAGGATCCGAGACGAATTTCGCCATGGCTGAGCAGAACTCTTGTGGGCTTGGATCACACAGGAAGCCCGTCACACCGTGGTCCACTGTCTCTACCGGGCCTCCACTGTTGCACGCTATTACGGGTTTATATGCCGCCATTGCTTCCAGAGGAACAATGCCAAAATGCTCGTCCTAAAACACCGAAGATCATGCAGTAAACCAATGGATTGTGAATTTGGAAAGATTAAAAAAACCCACAATTTTGACACCACCATTGACCCCATGCTTTGCATAGACATGCTTTGCACAGACACGCACAGACAATAACTGTCGGTGCCACACCATAACACAATTCTTTGGAAAGATTGTTTGGTTTGGACGTACGTACCTTTGGTGTATAAAGAACACACAGACATTGAGAGAGAAGCTCATTCCTTTCAGCAGTAGAGCAAGAAGTAACAAAACTAACTCGGTCCGAAACACCTTCTCTTTTGGCCAGGAGCTTCAACTCCTTTAGATAATCAACGTTCTCTCTTAATCGTTCATCATATCCACCTGGGAAAAAAAGATAGATCAATTTGAATGAAAGAAGCTACTAATTCTTGACATATTTAATGTCTTCTTTTATTTTAAAAAAAGGTTGTCTTGGATTCCCAAACCAAGAAATTTCTTGAAAATGTAGCTATTTTTGATGATTTCCACGCCATAAGGGTTAAAAATCAACCAAGCAACAAAACAGTTGAAAGGCATGAATATTATTTAATTATATAAAATTGCACAAAGAAATGAACAAAACCAATACCTGCAATAGTCAATGAAGCTTCAGCCACATTAGGGCATTGATGATTACCCTCTTCGTGGTTATAGAGCCTGGCAAAGGCAGATATTGCCAATTCTATATTCTTTTTCCTTTCAAAGCGGTTTATAGATAGAATGTTTAACCTAAATATAGTGAATAGACAATGTTAAACCGAAAATTGTTTGGAAATTCTACTAAATTTATTTGAATCAATTTTTAAGGGTAAGCTTCTCGTATAAACTTATGTTCATTTATTGGCATTTAAATTTGTGTTTGAATCAGCTGTATAATTTCAAGTTACAAAGAGATGGGAATGCCTTACTTAGTATCGTGAGGTTCATTAAATTGGTCAAGATTGACTGCTGGGTACAGCACGGCTGGTCTAACTCCACGTTCATTTAGACGCCTGAACGTGTTTGCAAAAGTAGAAGCTGTGAACTTGCTATTGACTAAGATCAAATCAGCCATACCTAACACAGTTCATCATGCAGCCAGAATACAAAATTAGTTAAAGAAGCATGAAAGGAAATAAACAAGAATGTACATAACATGCATTTGGGACGTCTAATTTTAAATAAACTCCCTCCGTCCCAATTTAAGTTGCATGTTTAGAATTCATAGGGTCAAACTTTAACCACGTTCTTTACCCGTTTCGCTACACATTTGAGAAAAATGATATAGACTTGTCACATCTTGTTTTGAAGAACTTTTTATGTAGTTTTTAAATATATAAATTTTATTTTTAAATTCCATACCAAATTTCAAATAAATTGAATTGAAAATAACTTGAGTCAGACCTCGTAAACAATAAAAGACGATTTAAATTGGGACGGTGGAAGTAAGGTATTTCTAGAAGGTAATATCACTTCAAAAAGAAACACTTTGCAAGAAAACATAAAGATTCTTTTAACAGCACAAAAAATGCTTTTGATGCTAATAAAGAATCAGACTGATATTTCCTTCCAATAAAGCCCTTTGTATTTAGTTGAGAAAACACTTACACCATAAAGAAACACAATTAACAAAAAAAAAAAAAAGCAAAAGACCTGTTGTCATTTCTTCTATAAAATCTATGGGCTTGCGGTATATCCTCCTAAGCACGGTTGTATGCTGAGCCAATAAGAGATCTGGAAAATGGCAGTAGAAAACAACCTGCGTAAGGTTTAAATCATAAATTACTATGCCAAACACTCCAATTGCAATTCAACTCTGAAACCTAGTACCTTCATTGTTCTTTTCAGCTTCATAAGAGGAATGACAACAGAGACTTGATCCGCTAGTACGATGTCAAATGATGGCCATAGAAACAACACCGAAAGAGCGACAAATATGCACCTTAAGTATGCACATACTGCATGAAGTCTATAGAATATATTCCGGGGTAGGAACGAGCCATATACTTTTACATTAAAGTTTCCTGTGCAGTTGGGATGAATTACGTTACCAAGAGATAAACGGAAAGCTAAACCAGAAAAGAACAAAGAAAAAATAAATATAGAATGATATTGCTACAGATAAGAAACTAACCCGAAAGAGTCTCCTCAAAACAGTGATTTTTGTCATGATGTGCTGTAAAAACATAAACATTATGTCCACAAGAGGCAAGTTCGACGGCAGCATCAACAATTAGCCTTTCAGCTCCACCTACATAATGGAGCAATTAAGGGTATATTTTGGAATGCAAAACACGATAAGGAAAAGAACACAGTTTTTTGTGTTTGGTTCTACATTGTAAATTACAAATTTGTTTTTAAAACTATATTTGTACTTCTCATTCTTTACATAATAGAAATATAAAATTAAAATGAGAATGAGCAAATGTGAAATATCTAAGAATGATTTATTGAGTTTGAACCAGTTTCCCATGTAACTTATCTTTCTCATCCTTACCTATTTTATCGTTTTAGCATTTTCTAGGTTCCAAATGAACCATAAGAGATACGCCGACAAAACAATAGAAGAATTCAGAGTACTATAATAGAAGCCATGACATTCCAGTTGTGAGACTGATGGGCGGATGGGCAAATTGAACATTATAACTTCCCAGTAGGATCAAATTTCACTCTAATGAGTTGAAAGGGAAGATTTAAAACTCTTTTCTTCGTCTCTTAATGAGCATTATGCCGGTGAACCAATCAAATCAAATCATCACAAAAAATTTCCTAAATTTTTGAATGGGTACTCACTCTTTTTAATGAAATGTAAAACTAACACAAAGCCATGCTCCAACTTAACAAAACAAAGAATTCACTTTAGGCACTCAAACAAAGATTCATAATGAATGATCCTGAGAGCAAA